TAAGGGTGTTCAGGTATTGAAGCAGAGCAAGAGATGTGTGTATTATGTATGGAGTTCATTTTAGCAGCATGAACAATTTTCCTCTTTTTCAGTATGATGATACAAATAGCTCAGGCAAGTCATGCACATAAATATGTCTTCAGTGTGCAAAAATGAATGGAGATTGAGGGTGTTTAGCACCATGAAGAAGGGAATTTTCTGTTTGCTTCAGAGAGAAGTTGAGATTTAGACTAGATTACCTCGTTAGGAAAGCTATTTTATGAAATAGCACAAATACATCAACTATGCAGAAGTTTGGGCAGTTCACAAACAGAGGCTTTGGATGTTGTTGGAGTTCTGTATCTTACTTCCACCTACGCTCCTCACTTAAAAGTCATACCTACTTTGTGAGAACAGAAGCAGGAGGTCATTTCTAAAAAGAAAAAGGTGGTATCTGGCACTTGCATCTGAGTCTTACTAGTTTTCACTTTATCTTCTTTTTAGGAGGGGTTATTGAGATGGCTGTGACAAGGTAACTAGTGTCATCTGAAACTCACCAGTGCCCTCATACATTGAAGCTATCATCATTCTAATGGACTAGTCAGGTACTCAAAATAATTTGTTTACATCAGATAGCCCTGTTCAACTCCAGAAAAACAGTTTTTTCTCTATCCAAGAATTGTGGTATTTGGTAAACTGGTTGGAATCACATTTGAGTGGTTCCATGGTGCTTTTCAGGGAATTTGCAGAAAGCAGTTTCATACTGCTCATTTCTCAGTCTATAGAACTCTTAAATTGGGCAGGATTACAGTCTGTCATCCTAATTTGTAATCCTGACATCTGAGCAAGACCCAGGATGTCATCCTCCTGCTGTACTCGGCCTTGTTGAGGCTGTGGTTAGAGTACTGCATCCAGTTCTGGGCTCCACATTTTAGGAAGGATGTGGAGAAGCTTGAAAGAGTCCAGAAGAGAGCTATGCGCATGATCAGAGGGCAAGAGAACAGGATTTATGAAGAGAGGCTGCGAGCTATGGGACTCTTCATCTTAGAGAAACACAGGCGCTCAGCGGTGACTTGGTGGTAGCCTATAAGCGCATTAGGGGTGTGTGTCAGGATTTGGGGGAACACCTGTTCACCAGAGCATGCCAAGGAATGACAAGGTCCAACAGTCACAATCTGCAAGACTGCTTTAGGCTGGACTTAAGGAAAAACTTTACTGTCTGAGCTCCCAAGGCCTGGAACAGACTCCCCCCAGAGGTGGTGCAAGCACCTACTCTGGACACTTTCAAGAAAGATTTGGATGCTTATCTTGCTGGGATCCTTTGACCCTAGCTGACTTCCTGCCCCTTGGGCAGGTGGCTAGACCTGATGATCTCATGAGGTTCCTTCCAGCCCTAATGTCTATGAAATCTATTAAACTTGAATGTGTATGATTTTATTGGAGGAAAATTTGAGACTGTTTGTAAGATAACACAATGCTAGTAGATCAGAAGAACTATCTGAAGGAGACAGCAGGTATTTTTCTCGTGTGAGGTGGAGACTGTCTTTTCATTGTCTTGTAGTGTAATTCAAATTTAGTGTTCCTTCTATACATTTACATACTTGATTTTTATTTTCTTAAACCTGTATGAATAATAGCTTACAAACTTTTCTCAGAGGCAGACCACATACAAATTATTTATACATTTAAATTGAGTTTTATAATGGGCTCTTGGGGGTATTACACATGAAAATTAATCAGCCTTCAACTTGCACTGAGCAGAGCAACCTGTTTACTCAGTAGGACTCTGTGTAGAGAATATATAATTGCACACAGTACACTGGTTTCCATATGCAAATATAAACTTATTCAAAAGGCCACTGTATCATTTAGGCTCTGTCTGCCCTAGAAGTGCCTCTCCTACTGCACACCTCAGGGATACTAGCTGGAATTTGGGAGTACTGTCATTGGATGATTGTCAGTCAAGAATCATTTCAATCACTGATCTAGCGAAGCTTTCATTTTTACCCTTTGGAGACTATGTTAAGAGTCTGTCAAGCAAGGTCCCCCGTGAATAAAGTGGTTTTGTCATATTTTTAAAGACGCTCACCATTGTGCTTCAAGTGTGTGTGGAAGTAAAGAGAATATGTTCTGTAAAGTAAAGAAGGACTAAGTACTAGGATCTCTTAAGTAATGATTTAGAATGTGGACGTGAAGTTTAGAAACGTGTGCAATACCATCACACAGGGCTGACTCATGCTAACTTTAAGAGAACCTCAACTATTTATTTTAAGAAACTTCTGAAGACAGCAGCCAGGAGAAATATTCTCCTTTGCTGTCCCTATAGCCACCTTTCTGGCATTTAATTTGCTTATCTAACAAATAAGATAACTTTCTGGTGGAAGACTAACATAAAAATCTGTTACAGGCAGGTCTGTTCTGTCTTTCGCACACTTCTAGGATGAGACAACTAATCATTAAATTGCCTGTGCCTAAAGTTAATTATACTTTTGCAAACTCCTTTATTAACAACTCTTAACTTTTAAACAATCATCTTGATTATGACTTTTGCTCAGTGTCTGCTTTCTTTTATTATAAATGCTTTTTTATAGAGTTTTATAAATTCTTATCAATGTATCTTATTAGAAATGCTTTCTCTTATAAATCCTTGGGAAGTGAAGTCTAAACCTCCTCTTAGTTATATTACTGTATTTGTTTGATTCAAAGATGAGACTTTTTCCCCTATTCATCATGTAGGACTGGGGGAGGGTGGGAGGACATGGAACAAGTTTAGAGCCACAGAGCAGCAAGATCCAGTACTGATTTCCTCACTGCTCTCTGGCTGTGTGCTGGGTCTTGTTGTTCTCTGACTACAGGCAGATTCCCCCACTGCCCTCTGGTTCAGCAGGAAGTCAGAGAGCAGCTAGGAAATCAGCATAGAGCCAGAGACCAGCAAGATCCAGCCCACAGCCAGAGAACAGTGAATTAGCACTGGGTTTCCCTGCTTTCCCTGGGTTTGTCTCTGGGTTGATTCCCCCACTGGCTCTGGACTAGACTGCATCCCGCACTGTGCCTTGGCTCCCTGCTGAGCTGGAAGCTGGCAGTGGGGAGGCGAAGGATAGGCAGCAAGGGAGTGTCAAATAACTGGGGCAGACAATGGGAGGTGGTGGGGAGGGACAATGTACAGGGGTGGGCAGGCCAGGATGAGGGAAAACAAGTGGCATGGGGGCAAAGTGCAGGAGGACAAGGATCCAGGGTCAGGTTGCCTGCCCCTCTCCTTACTGCTTCTTTCCCTGTGACAGCAGTGAGAGGCAGCATGGGGGGGATTTAAAACGACCCTCCAATAATTACATTCTTTACATAATTTTTTTTAAGAAACTTGTAATTTTCCATGTATAGAATCTGATTTTGAGGGGCTCATTTAAAATTCAAAGTCACTTTGGATTTTGGTAAATACATTATCTAGTAAAGTTAATTTATTTTTACTTTACATTTCATTAAGTTTTCAGTGTTTATTTCAGTTCATTCAGGTTTCAGCTGTATTATAGAGAAAAAAAAATAGCCACAGTACAGCTAAGGGTTTAGGTGCCATCTCCTGGACTACTGAAGTAACAGCCTAAATTCAGTTAATGTCCAGGGGGAAAAAAAAGTAACTTTTGAATACACACATATTTACGTTTGTCAGTCAAAAGTTACTCGGTCCACTGTACAAGAGACATTTGTGGTTGTACTTTTCATGAATAGGGCACTGACTCAAACCTACTCCATGCCTTTCCTGCAGCAGCTGCTGAATCACTGAAATCAGGTGTTGGCAGCATATGGCTTGCAGGCTGGATTCAGTCCTTGAAGAAAGGAGTTTGATCACACCAGGGTCAGATATCAGAAGTGGAGTCTGCATGTACAGCAGATGGGCAGCAGGGAGAGGCACTGTGCCACCTTGGACTCTAACCAGGTTAACCTGGTCTGTAGCCCCAAAATATCACCAACTGCTAAGATGATGGCTTTAGATTAGCCCTCTTTAGAATCCAGTCCTGTGTGTGTAAGTGAATGTTTCAATTGTCCAACAAGCACTCAGGCCCAGAAACATCCAGGACCCCAGTTGTTACAGATATAAGAACAAAGGCATACCAAATACTGCAAACTTACTTCGCAACTAAACCCAGTATCATCAGGTTAAAACACATGGAATAAATTATGTAGAAAAAAAACCATAATACAATTTTGCAATCATATTACAATTTACTCAGAAGCCAGATGGCACATAAACCACCTCTATTCTGCCTCTTTCTGCTACCTAGTCAGGCCGAACCAGAGGTACAATCACAAAGAAAGAGACATGTTCTCCTCTGTTTTGTAGAAATAGCCTCAATCAGGGGTAGCAAGCTAGGCAACAAATCCCTGCTCACAATCCCTGCATTGCCAAAGCCCTGCTCACTTGTCTGAGATTGCATTGTGAGCTGGTAGTGAAATTCTCACTCCCATCACTCCCACCTGTCCTAAGAGCTGGCTGCTGGCTTTTATCAACTGGACCACCTATGGGGGCTGGGGAGGTGGGAGACACTTTTACCTAAACTCTTTCCCCAGTTGTCTTAACTCCCCTAGAGTCCTTCCTTCAATGATAGCCATAACCTAACTTCTCTGTGGTCTTCCCACTAGACTTGCTGCAGCAACACCCAAATTAATTCTGCACACATTAGCTCTAGAAAGGAGCTGTTTTCATAATGCTGTACCTAGCATAATTAGCAAAACTTATCAGCCAGAACTGGGCTATACCAAATGAATGTGCTGCTAGCATGTGTGGAGCCAGCTTATCATATTGTCTTGAGCTTTCTGCATTTCTATTATGGCTGAAGACGTGCACTGAGAAAATTTGTCAGATTTGTTTGTCAAAGCAAATTTTGTTCTTACTGAGCTAATTACTGAATCATTAAAAAATTAAGTGGGGTTTAGCCAAAAGTAGTAAAACAACCCAGTAGTTAGTATGCATCACAAGATTACAAAGTCTTGGTTACAGAACAAAAGATAACCTTTAAAACACTAAAGTTCTGAAAACATTTTTTATTAAAATAACAAGAAGTTTAAGAAATTAATACAGTGTAATGAAATGATAACAAATCATACACAAATCATTGAACTTCAGTCCTAAAGTATGGAAAATGCATTCAAATTGTGGCATGATTTATATAATACAGCAATGCAAATACTGTACTCAAAATTAATGTCCAAGTTAAAGACTGGCATGCTGAGCAAGGAAGGTTCTTATTCTTTGCAAGAGTTCCTTCTTGACACTGTCTGGTACCAAGGCTGAAATTAAAAAAATAAAAATAAGAAATTCAAAAAACCCACAACATCTTACTGCATTGAGTATTTATATCAGAATTTTCCCCCAGCAATTCTGTTGATTCCTAACAACAGAACCACCTATCTTTCCTATAGTATCATCAAACAAATGCAATTAAGAGGTGGCAAAGTGGACCAAAAGCTAACAAAGCTGCCTCCTTTGGGGCCACCATGAAGAAAAAACAACACTCAGTGACAGACATTACTCAGTAATAGATAGTGCACATCAACCAAAAAATGATCTGGTTATCTGAATTATGTTTCCTCAGAGATTAAGGGCTATGGTACTGTTTAGGATTTCTGCCATGCCAAATAACCAGGACCAGGAAGTAAGAGTTGTCCAAGGACAGTATTTTTATGAGTTCCTGAGTGTGCTAAATACACATACTTAGAATTAGAATTAATGAACCTTCATCTTGTATTGCTGTAGCTTTTGCTATATAGCCAGCCAGGCTCTGAACGGTTTGTGTGTAAAAAAGAAATTGTAATGTCAACTCCACTTCTTGCAGCTGCTCTTTTGCTTCCCCCTACATGCCAGTCCTGTACTAGCCCACTCTTACAGACACCCCAGCTTGAAAATAATAGGAAAGATGTAAAGCATTTCCTTTTACCACACTGAGGTAACACTAATTGTCTTCTTGCAACTAGACTGGTAAACAGATTTCTCGTTTACTTAAACTTTTTAGAGTAAATTTACATACAAAACTATTTTTTTTAAACACGGAAGTTGCAAAAAAGGCTCTCAGGACAGCATGTATTTACATACACATGGCCTGCTTTCAGTTACTAGTTACGTTGTCAGCTGTTTCCCTGCTTGTGAAATGCGGGTAAGCTAGTACTGCTTTAAAAATTTTCTAGAGCACATTTAAACATACAATGTTACTTTTCTTACCTCTGCCTTTAGGAGTGATTTCTGCCACCAGGTCATCAACAGTAACATGCTCTAACCCTTTTTCTTTGATTACCTCTAAAGAAAACCAAAGAAAGTTGTCTTGTTTACAGTCTTAATTAGAACATGTTTGTCTAATGATTAAAGTATAAAAATCTGTGTGTGTACACATACACCCCCCCCCCCGCCTACTGACCTTCTATTCATGCTATATTCAACCTTATCTCGAACTCACACACTACTGCAGTTCCTGAACTCTTACTCAGACCACATTACACAAAAAAGGAATAACCTTTCCAGGTGAGACACATACTAGTAGTGAACCACCAGTGACTCATTATGAAAGTGCAAATTTGAATGTACCTCCTTTATGTACTTGCTAAAGATTACATACCTGACCTAACATCTAAATTGTCAGTATGTTAATGTTTTTGTGTGCATATTAGCATCTGCTTTTAAATAATAACTTAAAGTAGGTGAAATTGGAAAACAGAACCTAATGCTGCAATAAAAATAATCCTGTGCTCTTGAAATGTGTTCTCCACCTTAATGAGTATTGTGATCAACAGTATGCAACGTTTCAATTGTGTATGAGACTGAAGAAACCTTGCATCCTGAAGTACTGATGATTATTGTGAACTGCCATCAAGTTAATCAGTTCTACAAAAATTAGGGAATTTTTCTTAGCTAAATTCCCTAATAAGGAGCAATCTACAAAATAACAATTTAACTATTAAAAATGTACAATTTACAAATGAAAGCTCAGTTTTCCTTTGGGCACAGGTCAGTGATTCACATTGACAGGCATTGTTTCCTCATACACAAATCTCTCTCCAAATTAGACTAACCAGGCTGCTGCTGCAGGTTGCTGCTCCCTTCCTGCTTTAACCCGCTGCAGCGCACAGGCTTCCAATGCCATCCGTTATGGCGCTGGAGAGGGATGAATTTGGCGATGAGAGTGAACTACCCCTCACTCCATTGGGTGCATGTAGTGGTCGTGATTTGAAATGAATTCTGGCAGGGGAGATTGGCAGCACAGCATGAGGTGCAAATAAGGGGACACGGCAGGCCAGCTGTGTGCCACCTATCCCTGTGCCACTGTGGGAAAGATCCAAGCTCTTTATGAGGTGGATTCAACCCTCAGGCCATAGGTTGCAGAGCCCTGCACTAAACAATTGCTATTTGCATATCAAGGAAATCTTTGTAGTTATTATCAGATGGTAAAACTAAACTTGGGACTGTTTACATGGAGTGCCACCTGTGTCAAACTGCTTACCCCTGCCCCCCACCCCTCCCCTGGGCAGATCCAGACCATAATCATACTAATTTTAGAAGCCTAAGTAGGGCATTGATCACTATAGCAAAGGGTAGATGAGAGGTTTGTTTGAAAATTTCAGGATCACCCGAAGAATTACAAAGGTATTTGGGGCAACTTGGGTGAAGTAGGAATCTGAGAACAGAGACAAATCCAAAACAAACCCAGTACTATGAACCACTGAGACAGGTCCACACTTGAGAAAATATTGATTAAGAAAGCTTTCAGAACCTCTCTCCTGCCCAACATCTTCCATATCTCGTCCAAAGATCTTCAGGCAGTAAAGTTCCCCTCTGGAATGCTTATTTGGCTAGAAGGGATTTACTAATCCCCCTAATTCAGGTAATAATTAAAGATACTGAAATTATTTAACTGCTGTTACCTTTACAGTGTGCCTTCAACTGATCCTTCCAGCCACATTCAATTAATTTGGCTCTCAGCAACTCTTTAAGGCTGTCAAAAGAAAAAGATTTCACGTGAAAGAGTTGATAATATATACAATTGATTTTTTTTAATTACTCTTGTAAGAATTCTGGACCCACAAATTATTTTAGTTATATGCAACAGAGGCCTAACTGCACATTAACTCATGCTGGCAAGTAAAATAATATCATATCCCAAAAAATCCAGAATAGCCTCAGGTTAAAGTAAGCAGTTTTCACTTAAAGGGATGTGATTTTGAAAAAATGCTTGAAAACTGTTTTCAATGGAGGCTCAAAGTAGGCAGTAAACATCCCTGTTATATTTTTACCATCAGATAGACTTTGCAAACAGAGAGGGAAGTGCAGCATTCCAATTC